GCCCGGCCACTTAATAAAATTTTTTAAACATAAAAACATTGAACCTGTAAAACAAAACTAATAAACGATTTTAAGTTGCCTCATGACATCACATTAGTAAAATGTTACCTCATGCAAATGTATATTTTTTTAAAAGCCTTAACAACTCCCTACTTAACAAGCTAACAACAGGTTCCTGGTTCAAAGGGCTGACAGAACGCGAGTCTACCATCCTCCCCTCCCTGGCAATGAAATGACCCTAAAGAAGCACAAAAGAAATTTATTCATAAAGGCAGTGGGACTGAGGGGCAGTATCAACACTATAGAAATGCTGATATATAAACGGAAGATAAAAGGCAAATGATACCAGATTCATCAATGAACCAAAAAGAGGGAAACCAGGCTTAGGGATGGCTCAAAAGAAGGCAGCTAATATGGAATCCAGACATCACATGAGAGGTGCCATGCAGATGCGGATAAAAATGGAGGCTATGAGATCAAAGGTGGTTTGCAGAATGCTGTATGAGTCAGCCATTTCTTGTCCATTCCACTCTGGTTGCTGCTGCCACTAATACAAAACAACTCACCTCAGTTTGGCACCTGGACAAAACATAGTATGCCCTTAAATGCTGAAGTCATAGCTCATTCGGTTAAATAAAAATCCATGATTTTATTTACAGATTTCAAGTCGTATAAAAATCTGAAGTCATCATTTATAACCACCATTTTGGCTCTTTTCATGATTAGTCTAAGCTAATCTTTCATGGACCAACTTGATATTTTTAGCTAATGCCATCTGTTGGAGCATTAAGTTTATTTAACAAATTGATAGTACAAAACAGAAAGAAATGAATCCTTCTCTTTATTTCACCTAAACTTAATTCTAAATTTAATAAACCTTTGATAAACAAACTCATCTTTATTCATTTATATACTTTGTTTCTTCTCCATGATCATATTTAAAGAAAATAAACTATCACATATCTGGGATCAACAACAGCATTAGCCACAAGATAATTTTTGGTAAGAACATGAAAGAAAAAACACTGCCAATTAAATTATGACACAATTCCTTAACCATAGTTCAGCACAGTACATCAGTGACACTATAGCCTCTAGTTGCTTTGATATTTCTTTCATCTATCTGAGGACATTTGGCAATTTTACCTGCCTTCAGGTAAAGACATGAGACATGCAATCCTCTTGAACATTATCTCAGTAGTGACACCTAGTACAGTTTCATTCACTGTGGCTAACTTCCTTAGCTTCAATAGGGTTCTCATTTGTTGTTTTGCAGGGTAAAAATATGGATTGGTTATTGTTCCAACATTTCCTCAAACACTATCAAATTTATCCCCTGCTGCTCCATGTTCCAGCCTTTCTGGATACTCAATAACTATTCATTTCAACATGGAATGCTAGTGTAATATTTTTGAAGGCATTTAATTAGTAAATAAACTCCATATTTTTAGTCCCAACAACTCACGTTACTTATTTGAACTAACAGTGAGTACAGCTAGATAAAGTTCAAGCACTCATAGGAAACGATAATCATTAACCTGCCATCAATTATAAGACCTCCATAGATTCTAAGATACATTCCAACTTCAGACATTAAAAACATGAGAAAAAAGTCACAGAACTGATAAAATATCAGATTTTAATTTGAAAACTTCTTAAACTCATTTAAAAAGACACTCTTTTTATTTTGATCTTTTCCCTCCTCACATTCCTCAAGCTTTAAACACCCACAACAATATGGAGCAGAGCTGACCAAACAATGATTCTTTTTAATTGTTCTAAGGAGAATGTCACAAATGGTAGATTACAAATATTATTATTAATACTTATATATTAATGGAACTGTTATTACCAAGTTTTATTAACTATGTATATTGCAAGTACTAAGTTAAATGGTCAACTAAACTCAAACCTTCTGCCTTCCAGAGAATTCCTAATGGTTTCAATGTTAATTTGATCATCCCCCAGTGATCCAATTTCAGGAGATGCTAGTTAATTATTTCCTGCGTCACCGGTTAATACAGGAAGCTTGCCGTTTGTACAATAAAGAATTTTGAGAAAAATGACATTTTTAAAAGTTAGAAGATTTCAAGATAAAAATCTGTTTCTTTTGCAGTGAAGAAAACTTGAGTAATAGCAGTTTCCAGATTCTCAAAACCAGTTGAACAGCTCACTAAGACTAGATACAGGTTCCCAACCCTAGGTCCCTCTACACTAACATACTCTCATCAAAATCCCAGATAAAGGAATACATTGTGTTTACATATGTAATAGCAAAAAGGTTTCCCAAGAAGAATATGGCCAAGTCCTCACCTCTGGTACCTATGAATGTGAAGTTATTTGGAAATAGTGTCTTTGTAGATGTAATTAAGTTAAGAAATTTCAGATGAGATCATCCTGGATTTCGGGTGGGCCTACATCCACTGACCAGGTTCCTTATAACATGAAGAGAGGGAAATTTGGAACACAAAAGAGACACAGGCAGAAAACCACGTGATGATGCAGGCAGAGACTGGAGTTATAAAGTTACAAGCCAAGAAAAGCCAAGGACTACCAGCCACCCCAGAAGCTAAGAGAATCAGGAAGTAATCTTCCCTCAGAGCCTCCAGAAGAAACCATCCCTGCCAACATACCGATTTTGAACTTCTGGCCTCCAAAACTGTAAGAGAATAAATTTCTGTTAAGTTTAAGCCACTAAAAAAAAAAAAAAATGTAGTTGATGATTTGCTATACTGCTAAGATGTATGAAATCCTTTACTAAAAAAAAAAAAAAAAAGTAACTTGACACAGAACGCAGGAAAGGCAAAAGCGGGTAGGTATGATGATCCTATAAAAAACCATGGTTCATTTCCCTTTACATAGGTCAAGCTTCACTACTTCTCTGAGTTACAATGAAATATTTATCCAAGCCAAAGAGTGAATCACAAAAATAGGAAGTTGCAATAATAAAATTATTACATAATTTTGAAGTTTCAACAATGAATTAGTAAACAAAAATGCCACATATTAGCCAAACTCTACATTTTACTAGGCGCCCTATTATCTACAGTGTTCTTCCCACTGTTTTGAGGAAGAGACTCACTTAAAAAGTCGTTAGCA